CCCCAAAACCCCAAAACCCCAAAACCCCAAGTCACATATCCAAGATTGAATGAGGTTTCCCAATTTTTCGAATTATAATAATTTCTAAAAGGAGATTTAAAAATGGGAGGAGATCGTCACAAGTGTAAGTTTAAACAGATTGATCTTAACATAACTAGACCTTTAGCATCCAGAAGAGAAAGATCGAGGGATTATGACCGCAGCCGGTCTAGGAAATCCCATAAAAAAGATTCAGACAGAAGCAGTGAAAGGAGAAGGGACCGTAAGAGACATAAATCTCATAGATCTCCGAACGGAAGCCCTGAAGAAGTGTCTACCTTCAGACCCCTCTTCTTTGCAGGCTCTAAAGGGACTAAATTAGCACCCAGAGTTGCCACTGAGAAACCTAAAAGGATCGTTCGGGATGAGACAAAAGATGAAAAGTTAGTGCCCTCAAATAATCCTTTCCATAGTGAGACTGATATCAATACAAAGACAAAGGAAGAAAGTGGTGTTACTCACATCAAATCAGATAAGGATTACCTAAAACTAGAGGACGAATATGCTGTCTATGAGTGGGAAGAAAATGAGAAAGAGCTCGACAGAGCCTGGTACGATCAAGATGAAGAAGCTCCATTCGTCGCAAACTTCGACGAAGCTTATGAAAAGGAGAAAGAGGAGGAAGTTCAAATCCAAAAGAAAAAGAAAGCACAGCCAGTCTCTAGACACCAGAAGAACCTTGCTGACCACGAAAAATGGGAGATAAATAGAATGGTCCAATCTGGAGCCATGCATCAATCTGATGGCTATAGAGCAGATCTGCTTGAAGAAGATGAAGACAGAGTTGTGCTAATGACCCATGATATTAAACCTCCATTCCTTGATGGAAGATTCAAGTTCACTACTCAATCTGAGTCAGTCCAGATAGTCAGAGATCCAAACTCAGATTTTGCAAAGCTCAGCAAGAAGGGCTCAAATATTCTTAAGCATATCAGAGAAAGAAATGATAAGACTAAAATGAGAGAAAGATTTTGGGAGTTGGCCGGCTCCAAAATTGGCCAACTGATGAAAATTGACCAGAAGAAAACCAAAGATGAAGAAGAGAAGAAATTTGGTAGCAAAGATGAGATCGAAGAAGATAAAACAGTGTTCAAAGATGACGGAGAAGTTGATTATAAAGGAAGCAGCCAGTACGCCAAAGCCTTTGCTGGGAATAACGAAAAGGCGGTGTCTATATTTGCGAAGACTAAGACTCTTCAAGAGCAAAGAGAGTACCTTCCAATTTTTGGAGTCAGAGATGATCTGATGACTGTAATACGTGATAACAAAATTATTATTGTTGTTGGTGAAACTGGAAGTGGTAAAACCACCCAGCTCACGCAATACATCATGGAGGAAGGATATGCCAAAAATGGTATGATAGGGTGCACCCAACCAAGAAGAGTAGCAGCAGTCTCTGTTGCCAAAAGAGTCGCTGAGGAAATGAACAGTGAACTAGGTGAGAAAGTAGGATATTCTATAAGATTTGAAGATGTCACTTCTGAAAATACTGTCATTAAATACATGACTGATGGGGTCCTTTTAAGAGAATCTTTAAATGATGAAGACCTAGAGATATATTCATGCATTATCATGGATGAAGCACATGAAAGGAGTCTCAATACTGATGTATTGTTTGGTTTACTCAAGAAAGTAGCAACCAGAAGAAGAGACATCAAAATTATTATCACATCAGCTACGATGAATGCTAACAAATTTAGTGCTTTCTTCGGGAATGTGCCTATTTTTGAAATTCCAGGAAGAACATTCCCAGTGGATATCATGTTCTCTAAACATATAATGGAAGATTATGTAGATGCTGCTGTAAGGCAAGCAATTTCAATACATTTACAACAAGGAGAAGGAGACATTCTAATCTTCATGACAGGTCAAGAAGATATTGAAACAACATGCATACTCATTGCTGAAAGAATGGAGAAGATGGAGGGAGCACCTGAACTTCTTGTACTTCCTATCTATTCTACTCTTCCTTCAGATGTCCAAGCTAAGATCTTTGACTTCTCTGAGAATAGAAAGTGTATCGTCGCTACAAATATTGCTGAGACTTCTCTGACTTTAGATGGTGTAAAATATGTTATAGACACTGGATTTTGTAAACTAAAGGTTTTCAACCCCAAGATTGGTATGGATTCACTCCAAATCACCCCGATTTCTCAAGCAAATGCTAACCAGAGATCGGGTAGAGCTGGTAGGACTGGTCCTGGAATGTGCTTCAGAATGTACACTGATAACATCTTCAGAACCGAGCTTCTTGAAAGCAACATTCCTGAAATTCAAAGAACTAATCTTGCGAATGTGGTACTTTTGTTAAAATCCCTGAATGTTGACAATCTCCTTGAGTTTGATTTCATGGATCCGCCTCCACAAGAGACCATCTTGAACGCAATGTATCAGCTCTGGATTCTAGGAGCCTTAGAAAACACAGGAAACTTGACTGATTTAGGAAGGAAAATGGTAGAATTTCCTTTAGATCCTCCTCTGTCCAAGATGCTTATTCTCTCACATGACTATGAGTGTTCTGAAGAGGTGCTCACAATTGTATCAATGCTCTCAGTGCCGTCAATTTTCTACAGGCCTAAGGGAAGAGAAGAAGAGTCTGACTCTATCAGAGAGAAGTTCTTCGTTCCTGAATCAGATCATTTGACTCTCCTCCATACGTACAACCAGTGGAAGATGAATGATTATTCAGGAGAATGGTGCATGAAACACTTTATTCAGGTTAAAGCCATGAGAAAGGTCAGAGAAGTCAGATCTCAACTTCTTGATATCATGAAGATGCAGAAATTAGAACTAAACTCTTCAGGAATGGACTGGGATGTTGTCAGAAAGATTATTTGTTCAGCCTATTTCCACAATGCTGCTAAGATCAAGGGAATAGGAGAGTATGTTAACCTCAGAACGGGTATTCCATGTGTCCTGCACCCAAGTTCTGCTATTTATGGTCTTGGATACACTCCTGATTATGTTGTCTATCACGACCTTGTCATGACCACGAAATCATATATGCAAGAGGTTACAGCAGTTGATCCTCTTTGGCTTGCTGAGCTTGGCCCAATGTTTTTCTCAGTCAAAGAATCATATGGAAACAATGAATCCAGACTCACAAATCTTGGAGGAAGTGGAGCCAAAACAAAGACTCTGATAGAGAAGCATGGTAAAGAAGCCATGGAAAAGCAAATGGCTGAAGAAATGAGGAGGAAAAATGAAGAAAAAGAGCAAGAAAGACTAAAGAAACTACAAAAAACTGCCATTATCAAAAGGACGCATTCAGAAGCAGTCTATGCAGGTAGGAACAAAGCTCTCAGAAAGACCACACCAAGGATCAGCAAAAAGTTTGATGATTAATTCTTAAATAGATACCAAGGTTATATCTATTTTGGGGTTTTGGGGTTTTGGGGTTTTGGGGTTTTGGGG